TCAGTGAATGATATATTAAATGTGTTTGAAGTTTGTATGAAATATTTTGATAGGTACAGATACAAAATCAGAAATTGGTCCACATTTTAGACCGGTTACAACAACAAATTTTTTCAACCCAAGATGTAATTTTGTACCATTTACATTCACAACAAACATGTCATCCCTGTCATTTTTAGTTTCAAGAAGAAATATATGTCGTAACATCTGACATTGGATTTTTATGTCATGCAAATCATAAAAAAATTCACAATGGTGTTTCTTGTAAGAATTGTTGAAACTTGTCTTGACCTAGGAAGGTCAACAGATCCGCAAACACATTCATGTTAATACATGAAGACAAATGTATTTGTATCTTGTTCTCCTATAAAATTGGTAAATTAAATTATTACATTTATCAAACTATATAATGTCATATAAAATCATATATATACTAGTATGTTAAATGGACATTCCATTCAATTCAATTCATACACAAAGCATACAAAAATTGTACATCAGTTCATACACAATGCATATAATATTAATACATATTTAATTTTTTAAAAAATAACAATTTATGACTTTTAAACTATAAACTACTACTCAAACAGTACCACTACATTAATTCATACATCAAAATCAGAACATAAAAAATATACAACTTTAATACTTTTAATAATAGTAAAAAATATGCGACATACAACACTAATACATTATTCATACACTGATATTGTAATAGACAATATAGCATTTCATACACATAGCATACAAAGTTAATACATTAATGCATACATTCCTATAGTGAAATATAGTAATTATTTTATACACAAAATCATACAACATTAATACATTATTATTTATCAAAATATATACTTTGTTGTAATCCAATTATATATTCACAAATCACAATATTAAATCATACAATATTCGTATATAATTATAATATACAATACTAAAAACTCAACTTATATATAAATCATACAAATTCATACAGTGAATCATACATAAAAAATACATTATTTATTTACACAAAAATTTCATACAGTGAATCATACACAATACATACATTATTTATTTACACAAAATTTATATTTTAACTATTTTATACCGAAATAACAGAAAATAAAAATAACAGAACATAAAAAAGTTTTAAAAAATTAACTTTTACTAACCTTTGAACTTTTTTTGGGTTTAACTGTTTCTTCTTCTTCTTGTAAATGTGAAGTACCGATTTCTGATGCTCTTGATTTTTTGGATTTTGATTTTATCAACTCTTCCACAAAATCAGATTCAGAATCTGATGATTCCTCGATTTCTTTTCCTTTCCTTTTCTTTCCTCTTTCTTTCGTCCTTTTCTCAGATTCATCTACTTTTTTCTTTTCTTTCCCTTTTCTCTTCTTCTCGTTTTCCTTTGGATGTTTTTTTTTTCTATTGTTGATTTCCCTGATCTAGATTTAACTTTAACAGATGAAGGTTGAGATTGTATTTGTGTTAAAATTTTGAAAGATGGAGCATGAAAATCGTCTGAGCTTGCTTCTTCATTCAATCTTCTACTTTTTCTCGGGGTTTCGTTACCTACTTTCGACATTGTACGGTTTGTTTATCGCAAGAGTTGAAGATTTGAGTGCTAAAAATGAAGATTTGAATGCAAATATTTGAGAATTCTTGAAGAAGACTGTTAAGAAAGAAGTTATTTTGAGAGAAAATTTGGTGAAAGTAACAATTTAAGCGTGCGAATTTGGTGAAAAGTTTTGATAGGCGTGTATAATGATTTTGAAAAGAGTTGGGGAAGAACAAAAATTTGGGGAATATAATTTTTTTTTTAGATAACGTTTTACAAGTTTAAAAATAAAACTGTAATTGTTTTAGATTTTGATAAAATCCCTATTATTTTGTAGTTATCTTAAAAAAGGTAACTATATAATATTTAATTTAAATTACATTAATTAAGAGTTTTGTTTAAAAAAGGTAACTTAAAATAATAAATTTAATTAACTACATTGGTTTAAATATGGTAATTGAATTATTTAAATAAGTTAATTATTATTTTAAAAAATTAATGAGAATAATATATTATTTCTTGATATGCTATAACTTGATAATAATATGCTATAAGTAGTTTATTATTAAAAAGTTTGTTTATAACCTGATATTTAACATCTTAAATGTGTGTGTAGTGTTATTTTTATGTTTATTACATATATATATAATGCAATTTAAAAATATAAAATACATTGAAGTTTTATTTTAATAAAAGTAGATAAAAGTTTAGCTACATTATTACAATATTACCCCAGTACTTGATCAATTTTAGTTTTTTGTTTTTGTAAGTTTGTCCTAAAAAATTTCAATAAGAACAGATCAAAGGACCTGACTACAATATTATATTTATTTATTATAAAGTATTTTTTTATATGTTTATCGTGAAGATTTATGTCTCTAAAAAAATAATATCACTAATATGATATATATTTATATGCTTATACTAAAATATCACATTCAATCACGTAAAAAGCTTAAGATTTATAGAGTTTTTTTATTCTTTATTTTTTATTTATTTAAGAAATAAGATTTTAGCGATACAAAATCCCATATTTTTTTTATAAAAGTATGTAATTCAATTTTTTAAATTTAAATACTACATTATCAAAATAGATATTTAATAAGGAATTAATTAAATGAAGTCAAAAATTCATTACAAATTTATGTAATTAAAATGATATAATATTTAATAATTATATAAAAACGTAATCCACTTAAATAGCTTTCTATTTATTATATAAGATGATGACAATTGCAGTTTTTTAAGTTATATATAGATAATTATAATGAATTTATTATATTATCACTATAAGTGCACTCATTACTCCAACTTTAACATTTGACATAGACTATTTATTTACCACAAAACTCAAAAAATATTTTCAAATAAAATGAAAAATCATTCAAAATAAAGTAAATAATTATTATGACCAAGTAGGTCCTTAATAAGTAATTATATTCTATACGACTAATTCAAATTCATATCACGTAGAACGAGCAAGAATCCTTACAAAAAGAAAAAAAGATTCATTTTTTTCCTTTTTTCAGTGAAAGTCAGGGATAGTAAAGCAACGAGTCACGTAAGCAACAACAACAAAACATACCTAGTGTAATTCTCCAAATGGAATAGACGAGTCCCGTAAGCATGTTATTATTATAGGAGACAAATGTATATAACTCTAAGAAGTTGCAGACACACAATAAATACCAAAAGTGAAAGGGGAAAGAAAATCGCTGCTCCACAGGTTTCAGATATACACACAATCCATGGCATAGAGACCAGTTCCTCTCCACCACAAATATTTTGCACAAAATGTTACCAAACAGGTTTCTCTCCAGGCAGATATGATGGAGAATCTCCCTCTACTTGGTTTTTCTTCTTGTGGAAAATGCCACTGATACTAGGCATCAGTACTTTCTTCTTTGACACTGATGTCTTTGCTTTCTGCAACTTGCGCATTTCCATTATGTTCTCTTGTGTGTTTTGCTTCTTGGTTTCAACGGGTGAGTGCATCTTTACATGTGATTCCATGAATTTCTCAGATGGTTTCTCCTTCTGAACTGTGTAACTTTGAGGAGAAGATCTGTAGTTCATATGTGTTTCAGCAAGAATACGAGAAGCTGCCTCAGCTGCCTTCTTTTGCTCACGTTCTCGCCACCTTCTAAGCTCCCCTTCTACGGCCTTCTTGGCAGCTTCTGCCATCTCTGCCTTCTTCAAGGCTTCCTGAGTAGCGGTTTTTATATCATTAATCTCCTTTTGAGTTGACTCCAACTTCTTGAGGGCCTCATTCTCACTTGCTTTCACGGCCTCTACCTGAGCCATTGCAGCTCCCACTCTTATTTCTGCTAAATTATCAAGTTCTTCAACTTTACGGCTCAATGAGTCAAACTCGTCTCTTGATAAAGTAATACGAGCACCAGACTCAGAAGTTGAGGATCGTGCAGCTGTGGTTTTTTCAGATAAAATCTTAATTTGATCACGAGCCTCAGCCTCAGCTGATTTTGCTTCTTCAGCTTCTTCCATCGCCACTTTAAGCTTCTTTTCTGCATCTTCAAGCGCCATTCTAGCGGCTTCAGCTTCTTTCTTTAACTCTTCTGCTTGCATTTTCATCTCTTCAGCTTCAAGCTTTGCGTTTTCAGTCTCCAAGATCAGCTGGTGGAGAGTAGAGATCATTTCTTCAGAAGCACCTCTTGCTTTGGCTTCTTCTGCAACTGCTACTTCAAGCTCGGATTTGGCTTTACGGAGCTTGACATGCAGACCCCCTGCAAGTGATTCCGTCTCTGCCTCCTTTTCCTTCAGATCATAATGTTCTTTCTTGATGTTCTCCAGGTCCAGTTTAAGGGTCTCCACCAAGGTTTGAAGAGTACTCTCTTCTTCTGCGACCTTACGTAGTGATTCCTTAGCATCATCCAGCTCTGCAGTGACAACTTTCACCTTATCAAGGTCAGAAGACTTCGCACTGTCCATTTCTTTCCTCAAAGCTTCAATTTCAGACATTGTTTCAGCTAACTGTGCTTCAAGACTCTTGGCTAAATCTGCATCAGTCTCTTTCTTCAAAGCAAGTAACTTCTCTGCTGACTCTTCAAGTTTAGCCTTGTAGGACTGCTTCTGGACATCCTTTTCAGCATAAATCTTTGCTTCCTCTTCCCGCTCCTGCACACAGGCAAGTTTTAGTTGATCAACCGACTCATGGACAACTGCTATTTCCTTGGAAAGCTCTCTAGCTCTTTCCATATTTGCTTTGGCAGTACGCTCAGCTTCTGCTGCCTGCTCAATAGCGCCACCTTTTTCTTCCATAAATGTATTACAATCCTGGCGGATTTTCCTCAGCTCTTGTTTTGCTTTATCAAGATCAGCTATTTCAGCCATATACTTTTCTCTTGCAGTTTCCAGATCCACTTTCCAAGAACCATCCTTCCCCATAACAGAACCATCATTTGGTGCTTCAAGTTGGTTCACCTGACTCTTTGCTGCTTCTGTTGCCTTGACAGCCAAATCCTTCGACTCGCAAACAATTTTAAGCTTTTTGGTAAGGTCATCAACAGTCCGTTTTGCCCTTTCGAGCTCAGTAAGTGCTTGGGCTCTAGTGGTTTCTGCATTTTTCAACTGATCCTTCAACTTGTTCAGCTCTTTCTGAGCTAAGTGAAGCCGTGTTTCCTTTGCCAGTACCCTCTGAAATCAAGTCAAGATAAGAGTACTTAGGTGAGGCTATTTGATTGCAGTCTCAGAAACTAACCAATGCTTTAGTGTAAATACTTTTGCATTCATGCACTCCCGAGAGCACCTGATTACATGTTACATTCAGTACTCAAAAGACTCAAGTATGAGCGTATTTACTATTTAGTGAAAAAGTTTCGACACTCTAAAATGAAGCACCAAATAATTATGAACACTTCGAAGTCATTAAACACCATGTGAAAACATTTGAATAATCAAAGAAAGAAGATGCTTCAAGGACACATACACCAGAAAAAAGTTCAATGAAAAGATGGAGATGCATGCACGCACAAATTTCTATGACAGCATGACTTACTTGATGTAAAAGACAAACTACAAGTATTTGTTAGACAAAAGGAAACTTTTCTCAGATGTTCATTCTCTAACTTTTCTTTGTTTGATAAGGTATTAATTCAATCTTAATCATAAAACGAATGTTTAGCACAAACAATGCAGATAAAACGTCACAATAAAAACACCAAGCTTCTCCATTCAGGATAATGATATACATTTTGAACCACAGTATTATTTACCTCTGCGGACTGAGGTCTTGCCTTCCTGATTGCAGGTTTTTCCCCTGAGAATGCACCTTCCCCAAACAAGTTAACAGCATCTTTGACAGACTGAAATGGTGCACTTGTATCTATCTCCCCAACATGTACTTTTGGAGATCCAGTAGGTTTATTACGGTCTTTTGAAACCATATCTTAATCTTTTACACAGAATCACCTATCAACAAAAAGCAAAGAAAAGTTTACTGGGAGTGACCAAAAACACAGACGGAATTTCAACATTGTGGATAAGAGTAGCACAGAAGCTTGAGATACCAGTTTACAAGTGGTCATCATGCAATACAAGCTAGGTATATTTAACATCAGCATCCTCCTTTTCCTTGAAATTCTTTATCTTTTTTTTTTGATAAGGACTTGAAAATCTTAGTGATGGATTGCGAATAGCTGCCTAGGCATTTATTATAAGAAACAGACGTCTTTCTGAGTGCACGGAAGCAAAACCTCTACAGCCATTATTGACAATATATGCTAAGCCAAAAATGTACATTTTCACTCTCTAAGGTCACACTAAACATATACAGAAAGACGCTCCCTTTTGTCACACTGAGGGGAGTAGGTTGTTTTCGACTTTTTCTTTCATTTAAAAATGGTAATGTTATGTCATACTCAGAGAACTAAGTGTATGTACACATGACTTGTCAGAAAGAAAAGAAAGTGGGGAGGGGGTGATATGTCTATGAAATGCACTTCATTCCTCAAAATTAATCACTCTACCTCCAATTCTAGCCACTGCAAGCAAATTATTCACCTACTAAAACCTTCAAATAATTCCTATATGACAAAAAGATAATTGGCTCGAAATGTCAAATGTGAATAGCTAAACACTCATGTTAAACATTATTGACTCAAAAATATTCAAAGAGAGTTATGTTGAGCTCTGCTTTGCTGTATCTGAGGGTGCGGAAGATAAATATGTCAGTATCCCATTGCAGCAGTTGTCTCTACCACGACATACAAATGCAAGTATCTCATTGGAGCTCTCTTTAGGAATTTTAACTATCAAATTGGCCTAATCAAAATTCTCATTGCTTGCCAACAGACTAAGGTGTTCTTGTGACAGGTCCCCTTTCACATCTTGTTTAAAAAGAGTTAAGGTTGTAATAAACTAGCAAATCTTGACAAGCTTAGATCAGACTAAACGAGAGTTATTGTAAGGTCTAACACACACCATTTCTATTTGGCATTACACGGCAAGGACAATCATAATTTGTTATAATCCGACTTTCCCCTGGATATAGTTAAGTTTAGATGTAAAATCGACTAAACTACACATTAAATACAATCCAGAAAATTTTCAAACTAGAACCAAGTTTCTCTAGGTGTATACAGAATTATGGGTAGCGAATAGCTGCCTAGTCATTCATTATCGGAAGTGAAACAAAAAGATCGAAACAGATGCCATTGTGAGTACAGAGAAACAAACACCTCTACAAACATCCCTGAAAATGTATGCTAAGCCAAGAATGTAAACATTTTCACTCTCTAAGGTCACAATAAACACATACAGTAACACGTTTCAACTTTTTTAGGTAAACAAAATTTGAAATCTGTTAAAAGGGAAGCAATCAAACCATTTCAGTGCATTAAATTGCAGGTGTACATACACATATTCTCATACAACTTAACAATTCAAAGGCCTTAAGAAATACACACAATAAAAATAAACAGGACAATGTTCAATCTGAAACCCATAATAAATTCAAAAACAACTCAAAAAGACAATCATTACATTTCTCCATTACAATTTACCCAATAGTATAATAACAACTAACAAGAACCAAATTCTATTCACCGAGTCTAATAAAGACATCAACTTTAACCCTTCTTCAACAACAAATACAACAACAACAACAATAACAGGCAAGCAAAAGGGTAAAAGAGGAAAAAGGGCTTACCTAAATGATGAAAAGCCCTAATCATCCATAAACCCTAGAAACCATCAAATCTTTTAACTCCCAAAGGCCAAAAGGGTTGATACAAAGCAGCAAATTCTCAGAGATAAGCAAAAGTGGTTGACCAAAAATCTTCAAAAAAAAGTCAATCTTTCAACTAATCAACACAAACCCACAAACCAAACAGCAAAAACAAACTGCCCCAAACACTCAAAAGACAATCTTTTTTTTTTTTATCTAAACCCTCAATAGCAAAGTATAAAAGAAGAGAAAAGACAATTCCTTTGAAGGGGAAAACACTATTTAGTTAGTGAAACTATGAAAAGAGGAAAAATTGAGATATGGGTAGTTTCAATAAGCAAAAACAAAGAAAAAAAATTCAAACAGTAAAGACAAGGAATCTTGAATTAAGAGATGATTTGAAAGTTTTACAAAAAGCTAAAGAAAAAAAGAAAAGCTGTGTATGTTGAAAGACAAATATAATGTATACTACTACTATGAGCTAATCAGAGAAGAAAGAGAGAAAGAGAAAAGACAAGTCCAAGTCAGCAAAATGGCACCGTCCAAGGCTGACTCTGTCTTTGAGCACGCAAAGGGAAAAATACCACAAGATGGACGACGAAAAAGGGGTTTTTTTATTCGATATTTCGTATTTATATTGAAATTTGATTAAATTTAAATTAGTTTCAAAATTTCTTACGCTTGCATTGGGGTTAAAGCATAAAGATGATTCTGTATCTGACTCGAATTTGAGATATCTAGATAAAAATAAAGCGTGTCACTTCATCAAAACTCTTGCTGATGAGGTACTTACTACTTTATCACACCAATGGAAGGTGCTTTCTAGCAAAAAATAATTTCACACGTCAAAATATCTGATTAAGAATAAAAAGATACTTACTACTTTATTACAAATACAATAACAAAAAATATTTCAAATAAAATGACTTTTGAGATCTATTATAACACACTTCATAATAATAATAGAAAGTGTTTCCAATTAAAATTGGCTCTCATACATAAAAGACTCAAATTTAAAATTTACAAAGTTAAAATAAAAATATATTTTATCATTTTATGACCATTGTTATCGGAGAATTAGAAAAAAGTTAGAGAGAGATGTTGGTGATATATGGATAATGAGATCGTCAATGGTTAAAATAAAAATAAAAATAGAAAGCAATGCATATTATTTAGTTTTCCTAATCTTCATGTTATAGAAATTCCAGTTAATCCCGTAAGGATTGTAACTTGTGTGAACCAGGTAGCTAAATTATCTTAGATACGTAAAAAGGATTATATATTTTCTTTCATTTTAAGACTAAAAAAATACTTTTTAAAATTTTATTTCAAAGTCTAAATCTAGTAAACAAAAATGAAGAAAATATTATTTTTAGTCCAACTCAAATTTACACTTGAAGTTCCTAATTTTAATTTAGGCATAATATGTATATTAGACCGTAAATTTGGCTTCAAATTTTAACTTTGACTTTAAAATTTCATAGTGTACAAATAGACATTTTAACTATCCTATCTTTCAATAAATAAACATGCGATTTCTACATGACAAAATGCGTGAAAAGCACGCATTCTGCACGAGTGAGGGGTAATTTTTGAAACCCACAATGCTAAAAAATATTAAAATGACAATTCTACTCTTAATGAATCTCTTTTATAATTTTTTTAGTTTCAAAATGACGTGTAAAATATTTAGAAAAAAAATGTGTAATTTGTTTAATTAGTTGGCAGCCACTAATTGACTCACTAATACACGAGGGAACGTTTGCATTTCACTCATTTTGACTTTAAAAATTACGTGTTTATTTATTAAAAGGTAGAATAATTAAAATACCTATTTATGCATTATAAAAATTTAAGATTAAAGTTAAAATTTAAAGCCAAATTTAGAATCTTCTTCATTTAATGCAATATACACACCATGTGCAAAGTAAATTTTTTCATATAGGTACTACCTAGACTATAAGTTAGGTTTACACCCCCACCTCTATAACTTTGTCTTTTTTTTTATTTGAGTTGATTTTTTTTATCGATTAATTTAAGATTACTAAAGATGATTAAAAAGAGATATTCTTTATTATGATATATTTTTTTTTTTTTGGATATTAGTGATGTTGAGATTATCCCACTACATATGGGAAATAAAAAAAAATCAACTTACTTGAATTATTGAAAGAGATTGCAACATAATTCAAAATGTGTTGATATAAGATAAGATAAGATCCTCTTATTTTACTTATACTTTATTTAGAAAAAAAAAAGGGTTGTACAAGATGTAAATGAATTGTTTATCTTGTCACTTTCATTTTTCTAATTTATCAATTGTTAAAAAACAAAAAAGAAGCGCTTAATTAATCTCAAATATATTTTTGTATAATAACTATCTAATTTTTGTTTGTAAATATCAATTCAAATATAAATAAAAATTAATTGTCACTAATAATCGTTTTTGATATAATGACAAATTATCTCAACAATATATTTTTGTATAATAACTATCTAATTATAATTTGTAAATATCAATCCAAATATAAACGAATTAATAAGCGAATAAATTAAAAATCTACTCAAACACAAACAAATTAGATAATTTATTATTTTTTGGACTAATTTTGTCACCTAAATGTGCCACCTCATTTCTAAAACATGACAGCTCGTCGTGTTATGACACGTGTCATGCTGAGTCATCATCAAACCGCCTTTGAAATAGATAATTCCTTCTTCATAAATACATTTAATTCCACAAACAAAAAAAATAATAAACAATTAATTTTCTCCCAAAACACTGTCATGGCGACGGAGAAAGTGGCGGAGCACGGCGGCGATCACCGGAAACACGATCTGATATTATCGAACCTCGAACGGACTATTAAAGAAGAAGAGCAAGCTGAACGAGAACTCGATGTGAACGAATTATCGCGATTGTGTCAATTACACGGCAAAGGTATTCCGGCGAGTCGAGGGTTAGATCAGAGGAAAGCTACGGTGGAAATTTGTGAATTTGATGATGACGGGTCGGGTCAATTAGCTGAGAAATGTAAAACTATGTGTCAACAAGCTGATCACTTTAGGTGTCACAAGTGAATATCATTAATAATATTCAAAGAAATCTTAGTACAACAGTTGATTTATTTATTTTAATTTTTTTTCTAATTGATTTTATGATAATTTTATATTAAATGTTTTGTGTTTTAATTCAAATTAAAAAACTTAAATATGTTATTGCACGTTTAGAAAAGACACATTTATTTAATTAGTTAAAAGTTTGGTTTATTTATATCATTATCGTTTAAGAAAACACTAATTTATGTTATTTTTAACAGTAATTTTGTAAAATTATTTTAAACAAGTGATTAATTATAATTCGGTTCTATCGTTAATTTTTTTTAATAAAAAATAATAATTTTAAAAAAAATTAAACTAAATTTCTTTTGAATTAAAAATTAAAAGAATCATGACGTGGTTGAATTATCATGTCATAAATTTTTTAAATAAAAAAATCAAAAATTTTAAATAAAAATTTGAGTTTTTCTTCTACTTTCTAAATAATGACGTGGTCAAATTATAATTGATTGCGCGTTAAAAATAATTTTACAAAATGGTCATTAAAAAATAATAATATGAATGAGTCTTTTCTTGAACGATTATGGTATAAATGAATT